AAATTGTCTCGGGTAGAAAGTGGCATGGGATTGGCTCTGTGCGTGAGTCGGTCTAGCTGTCTGTACACGTGTGTGAGTATGTATGGCTTTCTGAATCTGTACACATTCACAGATTCGCGCCGGGTGCATCAAGAAGTGTACGAGAAGGACGAGCCGACTGCACGATTGCGTGATTAACAACAACATCATGTGCTCCGTTTCACCTCATTTACACGTTTGAAAGAAGACCTTGTAAACTGAAGATACATCTTGTGTGTGTGTGTGTCTTTTAGAGCAATGTGAGCTGTTCCGTGCGGGGAACATGAAACATAGTCTGTGAATGCCCCCCCCACCCCTTTTACCGGGCGAAAAAGGGGTGNGTTTTGAGTTTATAGGAAGCTGGTTAAACCAGTGACTGGATGTATAGGACACAGTTTCGGTTCTACTGAGGATCAAAAACAGTCTAGTCTGAAAATGCTCAGAAATGCAACGCCAGTAGAAGAATATTACATGAAATGCAAAAAGTTAATAATACGTATGATAGAGCCACGTACAAATCCTGGTGTCTGTGATCTCACACATAGTAAACCACGAATACATCTTAGTATACCATCCGATATTCCAATCCATATCGGTTATCGTGCTTTGTCTATCTTACAGTCTGACACGGAAGTCCAATTATAAATAGCTCACTGACTCGTTTTGTTAGCCTTGAGAATCGTATTATATTTTATTTCATTCTGTCCCCCCCTCCTCCGCGCCACTTTACAGATAGAAATGGTTGGGACATTAAACAACCAGTAGTGTTCATCTGCGATTGGTTCAAAATATCGACTGGTAAGTGAAGCGGAAACGGTCTTACATGAGCGTGACAAGAAGATTAAACAAAGTTGACCGGCTAGTTCACCATTGACAACAAGACACAAACACTTTATTGTATCAGGCACAGCAGAAAAAATACTGATCACCCTCACCGGGCACGAACTGAATTATCACAAAGTTTGGTGTGCTGAATCCATCAAATCAAAAATAGTTAGACTTGGTTTAATTAGAAAGAAATTATTATGTTCCATTAATTGGCATTTATCCGTGTGATGTAACATATTTGATTATGTGGTGAGTTTCTTGAACTGAAAAGCCAGGAAGCATTGGACAGCAGTTTTGCCCTGATCGGGTTTTATCTACAGTGCGCGAATCCATTGACCCAATTGAGGACCGAACTCAGAACCTCAGAGGTGAAAGGCAAGCATGCTATTCACTTGGCCACTGATGGACAGCGGATCAGATCGGTTTTCATTTCGTTTGCAAAACTTGCTGCTGCGGTCATCAGACAGATAGCTCAGTTCGGCACTCGAGTGGAAACATTCTGAATCTGATTATCGCTTCACTAAATCACTGAATAAAATCCTTCTGTACACTAATGTAGCAAGATTTCTCGCAATATAATCCAACAGAAAAGAATGTTCTATTCACAGCGCCCGCAAACCTAACTTTAATGTGACCTAGCCATTCGTGGCATGCAGCGTTGAATTTTTTCACTGCAAGTCATTTAAGTATATTTCGATCCGATTGCCGTGATAATTTCTCCAGCTAATCGGAACCCAAATGGACGGGATAAGATGGGATGTAAAATTTTAAAGCATGAAGCATAATTGAGGTGGTTCTTCATAAAAAGTGAAAATTCGTTTCCACGTTTCCTGTGAATACGCACCACCGAAATGGTTGATGTACGAATTTCGTTAACGCTCGTTCCATACGTCTGTTTTGGACGGTGAGTTAAATGGAGGCGAAAGTGATCCAGCACTCAGAACCAGGCATAAAACATTTCTCTGAAAGCTTCGAAAGTAATATGCAGTTATTCCAACTGGTCTGTTTCGAACTTATCCAAAGAAGCCTATCTGTTGAGTTCTTTTGGGACGGGTCGACCCCGGATTTGCACTGCTGTGGGCCCGANCCCGGTTGGCGTTAGGTCAGAACAACAACAAAAACAACAACAACAACATGCCGAATTTATATAAAACAACAGGTAGGAAATTGATCTATTAAATATCTTAAATCCAAGTAGTTCCGTCAAATATGACAACAATCAACTGAGGTATTTGATTTTATCGAACCGTGCTGGATGCAAATCTGATTATGCATAGTGAACGAATGATCCGGTGACCAGTTCATTTTGAAATTCGTGCCAAAGTTTCAACGGAAGAGTCAGTAATGCAACCCATTTGAATGATTCTATTTGAGCGACTGTCTATCGCTAAGGTCGACCTCACATGTTCACCCTGAACCTCGTCACTAAACATTGCTGACACGCGACCCGGTAGCATATTTGTCTGATTTGAGCACCATGTGATTCAATGCTCATTGTATGGGTTATCTATTTTCATGGCAGTAGCTAGTTCCTCGTGACTATAGTACTTACCCCTTAAACTGTGGCACCTAACCACGGGACTCATCCGGCTGATTTTAGCACAGAACTACCCTAACAGCAATTTGACCCGAATGTGCTATAGTGAATTGGATACAAACATCAAAACTTTTGATCCAGTCGCCGGTCCTTAAAGCAAATACGCTGTGATCTCATCAGTTTATTTTCATCGGGTGCAAATCGGAAACAGTTGTATCCAGAGAGATATTTTTGAATGATCACCAGATTATCTGATAAGAGATTACAAGCGCGAAATTGGTGGTCTCTTCAGTGATTTTTTCCGCTCAATTATCAGATTAATTTTTATCTTGATACGATAAATTTGATATATATACCGATCTCGGATTGGCTCCACTCACGAAGTTTTGGCTTTGCGGTCGTCAGCGAAAAGATCGTCATAGGAACTAAAATCACTATTAGAATATCCAACGTTTGAGAGTTTCAATCCCTTTAATGAGGACTGGGAGATTGATAAGATCTATAGTCCTATCCAGTAGAGCTATGACACTCGGTGGATTGAATAACAGTTGCAAGGAAATCAAAAAAAGGTTTGAATAATCACATAACAACGCAATAACCATTTTCCGGTTGGTTGGACCTATTGTAAAAGGGAACCGTTTGCCACTCAGTGCTTCTAAGACTTCTACGGAGGTCATGTGTTCGACTTCAGCCAACGATACTAAATTCGGCACTTTTTCTATCACAAGGATAATGTTTAATTGGTCGCTTTTTCGTTGTTCATAGTTATTTACATGTAAAATAACTAAAACACTTAAAACAGGTTATTATGAACAGCAGAAGGTTTTACCACAGATGGGCAGATTCTGCAATCANCAATCATTTTTGAGGTTTGATCTATTGGAATTATGTATTCTATCGCTTTCACTAACGTGCATGCACGTGTATGTGGGATACGATAAAGTTTGGAAATGATATCACCAAATACCTCCGATCGACAGAATCATGAATCATGGTTATCGCAATGTATTCTCGTTGTGACCTTCACAGTTTCGTTCATGTGACCATAAGTTCCATTTACTGAATTTTGTTGATTTATACTCATTGTCTATAGAAATTTGTGGCCGCGTGAGGTGTGTAAACCTTCGTTCTCACAACTGATTCTTCAAAATACGTTCTACGAATATTTTATTCCTGCCAGAATAACAGCAAAACCGTATAAATTGTCATTTTTTACCCAATTCTTTATCTTACGATGCTTGAAGAATGAAAAGACAAACCAGTAAAGCAGCATTGCTTGATTTATGTCCTGAATGACTTAGCTACATCTCAACTGTCACTTATTGCAGACCAATACAATATTTATGTAAGGTTAGGGAATGGATTAAAAAATAAACAATTGTAAGGGGTGAAGCGTCACCTCTGTACACCAACTCAAACGTAATCTATCAATTCCCATGTGGATGCAGAGACACTTACATAGGCAGAAAGAGAAAGGCGATTACGTAATCGGGTTTTAGAACACATTCCGGACCGGGCTTAACGTAAAGTTGCCGTGTCAAACTTCACACAGCCGGTAACCGGTAAGAACCGTTTATACAAAACACCAAACTCATTGATTACCCAAGCTATTGTTGACGACGCAACGCCTCGTTGATCGCGAGAAGGCATTTGGAGTGATTTTTACTGATGATAACACCAGAATTCTCAAGATTGCCGAGGCGACTACAATCAACCGGTGGAAACCAATTATGTATCAACAAAAGGTTTTCTTCATCACCTTAGCGTTGCTTTAGTGACGCTCCCTCCATTTACAATTATTTATTTTGTATTCCATTCCTAAACCGTAAATAAATATTGTATTTGTCTGCAGTCGATACCAGTTGAGATGTAGCGAAATCGTCCGGGGCATAAATTCTGTTGATATACGGGCTTGAAGAATGAGCCAAGAAAAATAAAGGAGGGGAATCTCGGTTCGATATCCAACTATTTTTCCGTGTCACCATATCTTTTTTAGGTTTGTACAGTATGGTAACCGAGCCGTTTCTTTAGCAATGATTGCAAAGCAATCTCTGTATGTTTCTCCTGATGTTTTGCATAATTAAAAATATTTCGAAAGTCATGTATCAGAGAGCTTATGATTTTTTAATAAAAAAAAAGTTGTCACATTCTACTGTCTTGTAACAAAGAAAATTGTTCATCGATTCCGATTTGACGAGTATGCAGTTAGCCCTTGTGGAATCGGTGAGAAAGATCGGTCGAGCCTAATGGTCAAAGAGGATGATTGCTCGTATGGTCAAACTCCCCCAACGATTGTGTGTAAGTTATCATGTAACCACTGGGCATTAAAAGGTATAAACGAATCAGAGAATGATATAGGATCTGGCTGAACACGGAAACGGAATGTACGCCAGTTAGTTAAAATTTTCTGTCTGAAAAACGGGAAAATCTTGAGTCATATTGGACAGTCAGGTAATCAATCAATACATTTTGACCAGAACTGCAAAACAACAAAGGACTTGCTATATCAGGAGACGTTGACGTATGCGATAACACTAACTCTCATCTTCACTAGCAAACAACAATATGATGCTTATAAGGATGTCTAATAAACTTAAACTGGTAAAATGTTTCAGAATTAATCACGACAATTTATTGCGGTCACATCTCCTGCGAAAAGTAAAATTACCCACGATAAAACGTACCTCGAATAATCTTGATACAATCAATTTGCGCTGGATAATTTGCCGGATATAAGGGAGTGGTAAAGGTGTACAACGTGACACGTGTAGCTCCCGAGGCGTTCTCGTAATATACGTCGCGTCCAGAAGTCCGACCGGTCAATGGGTATGAAGAATGAGCACGCGAATTGTGACTAGACACCGCGGAAGGTTCGGACCAGCCGCCAGTCGTCGACCACGGTGCCTTGGAGGGACGAGGTAAAGGTGGTTTAGGTACACCGAGTGCTTCCGAAATCGAGTTTGCGTTCGTGGTACTCGCATCCCAGTCCAAATAATAGGAATTAATAAAAGTTTCACAGATCTTTGACTGATTGGGCAATCGGAATAGGCTTTCGTTGTCGATTGGAATCGGGGCACCAAGTATGATTTTTTGGGTGGATTGTGGAGCACTGAGTTGAGCTTTGATTGGGAACGGGGTGTGAAGTACTGCATGGTGGACCGCGAAGTTGAATCCGGGTCGTCCGATTTGAACGGGAGAAAAACAAACAAAAGCGGAAGAACAAGTGAGGTAAAGATTGAAAAAGACCGCTCACTTTCGAAAAACTTATCCTTTCGGAGTTTCTTTCGTGACTCGCTCATTATTGATGGAGTAGTTGATTTTAGAGATGTGGTCCGGTTATACGTCAAAAGTAGCTCTCAAATCTTATGCAATATTAGTTTACATGGCGAGATCTTCAAT